CCTAGCAAAAAAATGACATGACGCATTCTGATTGGTCTCCGGAAACCATCCGGGATCTGCAAAGAATATTTTTTCCCCTATCGAACCAGGTCCATCAACTTCAAATCTTTCAATCTAATTATTAAGCTCAGAAAAGCAGACTTGTAAATGGTTAGAAGCCCCAGTGATGTTGGTTTGGATGGGAGATGTGAATATGTTGGGTAATTAGGTTATAGATTGCCAACATTCTTTTCTTCCAAAAAGCATCGTCTCAAAACTTCATGTCCTATAAATATTAGAGAGGTTCAAGCTGTGATAATTACATATCAACATGTACTTTTTTCTTTTTACTTTCTTTTTCCACTGATATCACATAATTTCACATAGATCATAGCTTTTGTCAGGTGATGAGCAATGCCGAGGTGCATTCTGGTTTCTACAGTGAAAAATAGAGGCTTTAAGGTTTCTGAAGAAAATGGTTAACACATGAAAAATTGAACAGCAGTGGGATCTAAGTGTGAATTTGGAGGGGGAGATAACCTCTATCAATTGCTTGTGATGAGTACGCTTCTTTAAATTGTATGGTGTTAATCTGTGTGAAATCTGATAGTGTCGATCAATCAGATTGTATTGTTGTCTCGGATCTCAAGTCAATTTCTTGTAGTTGTTGGGGTGCGAGGGGTTTACCCACTGTTTGGGTTCGGGTGCTTTGCACCCAAAAGTTTTTTTTTCTTGCAATGCCCCGCTGATGTGTACCTGAGCGCCCCAATGATGTATTCCCGAGCACCGCAAAGCTGCAGAGTTTGTTGGGAAAAAAGATAGAGAGCAGAGCGCCACAGAGCTATAGATTCAACGCCACAACGTTGTGTAGTGTCGCAGCACTGTAGATTTGAGCGCCGCAGCATATGATGATAGAGGCTTTGGCGCTGCAACGCTCCAAATTGATGTCGCAGAGCTGCGAGGCGGACCAAACAGTTTTCTCTCTCTTTTTTTGAAGGGTGCTGTCCCTTGATGTTATTAACTTAGCTTTCTCTTCTATTTTGAGTATAAGAATGATGCAAGGAGAGAATTAGAGAGAAGATAGATCTGTACTTATTTCTCCTAATTTTCATTGTAGATTTCTTAGTGTGAAATAGCTCCGTGGTTTTTTCCATGTTAAATCCTGATGTCTTTTTTTCTTTTTGTAGCTTTACTTCATTGTTTATTTTGTTGCGGTGTCTTACTTCCATCCCCAACATATAGTTGATTTAAGTTGTTGGATATATGGCATGTTGGAATGAAATTGATGATAACAACATGATCGGTAAATGTCTCACTTTGTTGCAAGGGATCTAACTTCCACATATCCATGGAAATTTTCCTAAGTATGAAATCATGATTGATATTCCACACACAAAAAAAAAATGTTGATATTCCAAAACTGGTGATGATGAAATCAATATATTACTATCATCCTTTATTTTATTTACATAACTAAAGGATATTATTGGCCTAGTTTGGTTGGTCCACGTAGTTTAAAGCATAAATCTATTTTACCTTTTGACAATTCATGTTAGAGAATTGGAGACAAAACTTAACAGATTAGGAGTTTAATTAGGATTAACGAAATAGAAATATGTATATGATAAGTAATCTTAATATCTGATGATAGCAATGATTTGTTAATAATGATGCTTGTATGTTAGTTTGGTATGTTTTGATATCTGCATAATGAGGCAAAGGCCAATTTTAAGAACCCGGAAGTAATTAAATCAAGATGTGTGTTTTACCTTCCGAAAGAAATGACACTAAGGCTCTTTTGGGACGGTTTTTTTACTGCTTCTTTAAGCAGACTTTTAATATAAAAATTATGTTGTAAAAAGCAGTAAGAAAGCTATCCTAAACTAAGCCTAGAGGTTCTATATATTTTGGCTTACAAAAAGATTATGTTGAAATTAATAAAATTAATTCAAATTTGAGAAAAGAAAATAATTCATCAGTTATGGTTACTGATTTTTCTCCTTCTAAAATCTAATGTTTTAAAAAACAAAGATGACTTACAGATAAGTAAACTCATGGGTTGAAATTATTGTGGCTATTTCAACTCTTACAGAAGCATTGAACATCGTGAAGAAGAGCACAACACTGATGAAGTTGTTCGATTTACTTAAAGAGATCAGCTCAGTTTCCTTTATGTTCTCAATCGACTGTGGATCCTATGGAGTGTGTGCCAGAAGAGATCTTGTAAATGGTTAGTCAGAATCTTGGATTCGGAAGCTATGTCGCACCTTACTGCTGAATCAAACCTGCTCCAGCGAGCTCAGCCTTATACAGCGATTTATCTCATGAATCATTTACCGCCAATAAAAACTAAATTTGATCACCAAATCAGCTTCCCTTTAAGAAATTGTCACTAAGTTCTATCTCAGAGTTTTTGGCATCAGATTTGATTGCAGTTTTAAGTAGGATTTAACGTAAATCCAGTCAAACGCATGCCGCGCGCCTGTAAATCCTACGAATCCGTAAATCGATTTGTAGGATTCGCGGCATAAATCCCGGTAAATCCGGGTAAATCCTAATCCCATTCTTCAACGAGCGAGCTCCCGTCGTTGCTTCTGATCGAAATGTTCTAACTTCCGATCCAACAGGAAGGGAACGTCGTCGAAGGATCGAAATCGAGCAGCAACAAAAAAGCGCAACTCGTGCAATCTCTACACCTCCTGTGAAGCAACGAAGACGAACAACAACGACAAAAAACAAAAGATGGAAAGCAAACCCAAGATCGTCTTAATTAATATAATTTAAAATATTATTAATTAAGCAAATTAATTAAATAAATGATTTATTATTTAGCATAGGGTCATCTCAAATTTATAACAGGTTTATTGATGTTACTTAATATTACTACTTCAATTTTAAATCTTCAATTATTTTAAATCCTGTAATCTGTTGCATAAAAACTTTTCTGAATTTAACACGATTTAATATTTATCATACCAAACACTTTTCAAGATTTATCAGCCTAGGATTTACTAAATCCGAATTTACAAGATTTATTAAATCCTTCTAAAATTGAATCCAATCTGATAGCAAAGACCCCCTCAGAGTTTTTAGATGCAAACATTATCCTTGGGTGCAACCTCATGCTGCGAACAAATTTGCTATGAAGTTTATATATTGTGCTTTCATTGGTAGTGCAGCTTCTCATAAATGTTACAATAACTCAGACAAAATTCTCATATCTAGGCATACAGTTTGATGAATCAAATATGTTCTATACAATTTCCAAAATTACAGTAAACACCACCTTTCCCACTTCTCCAGCCACTCCGCTTTTTCTTGTTGCTGATTCCACTTCGGCATCCCACTGTTTTTTCTTCACCTACCCTTATAAACCTTTGGTTTCCAGCTCCACTAGCCACTCTTGTGCAATAAACAATTAAAATAAAACAAACCACACAATCAAAACAAAGAACAAGACGATTTACGTGGTTCAGCAAAGATGCCTAGATTCACATGGAGTGATGACGATTTCACTATATTGAAGTACAATAGGGATCACAATAAGCTATCTAGTTCTCTCTTTTTCTTGCTCTTGCATTCCTACAATAGTCTCACACCCCTTTATTTATTGATTTGGAGCAAACAAAATAAGGAAAAAAAAAAACTTCCTAATCTAATCCCTAATCAAATCAACTATTTAGGTAAATAATCAACTCTATTATCAATTACATAATAAGCCATCAAAACTTTCCAAAATAAAGATTATTTAAATTTGAAAATATTTCCAAATCAATAATCTCCACCTTATCTTTCACTTTAAAAGGTAGAATATGATAACCCAAGCTCTAATATCATAACGTCTTCACCTAAATGGTTGCTACGTATCTCCACTCCCGCGCCCCCCCCCTAAATGTTGTTCTAATGATTCCCTTGCTAGATATAAAGTTCAACTTGTCGCTTAGGGATATAAGCAATTTTTGAGACTTTCAACCCCATCGCCAAACTTTCAATGATCCACTTTCTTCTCACAACTGCTTCAAATTTTCATTAGTCTATAATGCAACTTAATGTTGCCAATACTTTTCTTTATGGAGCTCTTAATGAACTAGTATACATGACTCAACCCCATCATATCAAAGAACCTCACTATTTGAATCTCATGAGCCTTTTTAGGCTTCTTTTGGACAGCTTTTGGCAATTGCTTTTTTTTTTTTTTTGCTACTTTAGAAAAAAAAATTATTAAAAAGTTATTTTAGAAAAAAGTAAGTAAACTGTTTCATACAAAACCTTAAGAATGTCATCAACACAATCTTAAACAGGCTTCACATCAATGATATGTCACTATTTGCATTTACTTTAAAATAAGAAGGTTTTACTTGCATCACAACCAATCCCTCATTGATTATTATAATTCTCAAAGTGTTTCAATCTATCTTCTTATTTATGTTAATGATATCCTCTTACCGACAATGATCAAACTATCATTGATGTTCTCCTTCTTCTTCTCAACCTTAATAGCAAATTTCATCTAAAAAACCTTGTCTCATTTCTTATGCTTACAAGTTACTTTCACCTCTATGGGCCCCACATCCTAAACCAAGCCAAATATGCTCAAGAGATTCTACAAAAGCAGGTAAGTTTTCTTGTGAAGCTATTATAAATCCCATCCCTTTCAAACTTTCTCATGACTCTAAGGAGCTCCTCGGTATCTAATTTGTAGCAGGATATACGGTAAATCCTACCAAACAGTTTTCAGGAGCACAGTAAATCTGAATCCCTCCGAACTTATGGATTTATAGCGTAAATTCGGGATTTAGTAAATCACGTCGTTTGGCAGATTTATGGGTTGTATGGTATCAGATCTACAGCAGGATTTAAGTTAGATTTACCCTAAATACAGCCAAACAATTTTTGTGCGCGCGTTAAATTCCGGGATTCGGTAAATCCCGGATTTATGGATTTACGGCTTAAATATGAGATTTATTAAATCCCTCGGATAAGTGGATTTAACGGAATATAAGTCTGAGCAGAAATCTTACTTGCAATGCTCGAGTCTTCAACTGCAATTTCACCCTATTTTTACAAACGAATGGAGACATTCATCTTCCCAACCGCCTCAACCTCGCGAATTCTTCTCCTCTTCGTTAATCTGCTTCGATGCATCGTGCTCAGGCGCAGGTAGCTACCTTTTCTCCTTTGTTGTGTAGATCACAGTACCCAAGTTTTTTTTTTTTTCCGCAAAGAATTTTTCCTTTTTTTCAGTGTGATGCAATGAAATTATACCGTGCATGTTACAAAAAGCTGAATATATTTAATTTTCATTATTAGCATCTCTTCTCAACATGAATGTAGTAGTAAATTAATTATTTATAGATTACCTCAAGTATTATTATTTAATTTAATTTATAAAAATCACTATGTTATGCTAGTTGAAGTATTCTATTACTATATCATGTTTGATATGTTAACGTGACAAACTATTATTTGGTAGTACAATTGTTAGGATAAATTAATTCAGAATGAAGCGAACGTTTAACACTGGGTTTGGCAAAGATAATTTTGAATCGGTGAGCGACAACGAGTCGTTTGAAGTCATCTATCTCAAAAATTATGGGTTCTCTCTTGATTCCAGAATTTGTGAAGTAAGAAAGAGTACTACTCATAAAATTACTTATAAAATTTACTTACAAATGCGAAAACAATCAAATTATATACTTATAACATTTTCTTGAATGTATGACAGAGATGAATAGATTTCTAAAAAATAAAAGTTTAGCTCATGCTAGCACTAGCTCTCAACTTCGTGCAGCATGAAGTATGACAGAAATGAAAAAATATCTTTAGCTGCACGAGATCGAGAGCTAATGCTGACATTATTTAAATCTTTGTATTTTAGAAATCTCTTTATTTATGTCATACATTTAAGAAAATGTTATAAATATATAATTTGATTGTTCTCACATTTGGAAATAAATTTTATAGAGTATTTTCATGAACAATACTCTTCTTAATTCACAAATTCTACAATCAAGAGCGAACTCATAATTTTTTAGATATATGACAATAAATGACTCGTTGTCGTTCATTGATTCAAAATTACCTTTGCAAAATCCAGTGTTAAACATTCGCTTCATTCTGAATTAATTTATCTTAATCATTATACTACATAAGAATAATTTATTACCTAAACATAGCAAACATCATATGATAATGAAATACTTAAACTAGCCTAACATAGTGATTTTTACAAATTAAATTAAATAACAATGCTTGAGATAATCTAAAAATAATTAATTTACCACTGCATTCATGTTGAGAAGAGATGCTAACAATGAAAATTTAATTTATTCAGCTTTTTTTATTTTCAACTTTTTATAACATGCACGGTATACTTTACAATCTGGTACAAGCATCTCATTGCATCACACCCAAAAAAAAATAAGGAAAAAATTTTTGCAACAAAAAAATATATAAAAAACTTGTGGACCAGAGCCCTGCATTAGGTACCCATACCCACACCCACCCATGTACCCACCCATACCCAATGGGCATGGGTGGGTATGGGTACGCTCATGACATCGTGGGTGGGTATGGGTGGGTACTCAACATCAAAGGACAACCGATTTATATTACTAATTATCATATACATGCAGTATATTATAATAATCCTTACTACGCAATGTGCAACACTGAACCGCGTCACAACCATGATAAATTTTGATATGTGGCTTGAAAGTTTGCAGTCAGAGAAAATGACAAAAAATATCAAGGCCATTAATCTATGGCAGACTGCATTCAATAATCGTGGAAAGTGGGTGGGTGTGGGTGGGTATGACATGGAAAGACATCATAGGTGGGTGTGGGTGGGCAAAGCCCGCCAGCATAGAGCGTGGGTACCCAATGGGTACCCAACCAGGACCCCATGTAGGGCTTTGTTGTGGACTGTGATTTACACAACAAAGTAAAAAAAAATCGTTACATGTTGCTAGAGTCAAACGCAGCCAAGCAGATTAATAATGAACAGGAGAAGAATTCGAGAGGTTGAGGCGACTGAGAAGATAAATGTCTCCGTTCGTTTGTAAATATAGGGCAAAACTACAGTTGCAAGTTGCAACACGGGCACCACGGGAAATATCTGCGGATAAGATTTCTACTCGGACTTAAATCCCGTTAAATCGACCTACCTCCCGGTTTAAGCGCTAAATCTGTAAATCCGGCATTTACAGAATCCCGGGATTTAGCATAAATCCGACTTAAATCCCACTGTAAATCCGATACCAAAAAGCCCCTTAGGGATTTACAGATTATAGGATTTACAAGCCTGCGAGTGAAGACAAATAAGGGAAATGATAACTGCAGCAGTATCAACAAGTAGAGCTCTTATGAGAAAACCTGCCGAGAGCAAATAGGATCTAAGAAGTGAATGAGTGGCTGTAAATGAAATGATTGTTGTTTAAACGCAGAAGTGGCTTTTTCACCGCCAATCGATCTCTGTTAGGGTGAACCTCTCTGGCCGACAAAGGTTGCCGAATGATCTAGGCATCCCGAACTCAGAAGTCGGAATATGGCAAGAACGAACGCGATGCAGTATAGCAGTAGTGTAATTAAATTAGAATAACTAAATACTTAGTAGTATAATTAGGGTGATTATATAACAACCCAAGATCCGTGTAGTGAAAGGATTCATCTGATCGATCATTCATTTTCTTTTTTTCTTTTCTTCTTTTTCTTTTCCTTCATCCGTTTAATTAATTAGGATTTAGAAATATAATTAAATAATTAGTAATAAAATAACTAATTTGATAATTAACATCTAAATAACTAATTTATTATTATAATTTATTACAGATAATTAAAATTAAAGTTAATAAGTATGGTACGTCACCAAAAATTTATGTTGATCGGCATGAATCTCGATGCAATATATGAGGTTGAGGCGATGAAAATTAAAATCGGGATCATCCAAACTGATTTCGATAAACTTATAGTCAAATTGAACATTTCGAAGAGATGAACTCAACGACACTAAATTCAGCTCAATCCGGCCCAAAATGGGCCCAAATATAAGGACCAAAGCCTATTTGAACAATTCAGAGCATTAATTGGATGATCAAATAATGTCCAAATATGACATGCTTATAGTCAGAGCGAACGGCTAGACGAGACGAATCCAACAAGCCCAAACTTACTCAATTTTTACATCTCTATTGCATCTAAATACTTGATAAATTCTTCATGATTAAGGAGATAAATATGAGCCATCCAATGAGACACTCTCATCATGTCATTGATCTTCTTCATATCTACTAGTCATGCCACTCTCAAAAAATTACAAATAGCCGCCCCAACCCCCTGTGCGGACCACCGACTGTCGTCGAACTTATGTTCATTCACCAATCACCACTGGATATCTTTCCGACTACCAATTGTTGTAGGACTTTTGCCCGTTCGTCGACCGCAGTCGAATCTCTTCTTGAGTGTTGCCGGACTTCCTCCTATTAGTCAACACTCGCTGGATCTCTTCCCAAACAATGTATGGCTTTCACATGTTCATCGACTATTGTCGAATCTCTTCCCGACCGTCGTCGAATTTCCGTCCGTTCACTGACTATCGTCTAACTTCTTCTTGTTCGCGGGATATCACTGCATCTCTAACCTTCTTCAAACTTTTGCGGAACAGTCACTTGATTGTTGACATTGGATTTTCTTATATCTATCATATCCATTTGAAGTTTAGCAATATCATCAATATATTGTATTGGCATTGTCCTCGAGTTGAAGTACGGGTCAACTTTTTCAATCCATTCAAACATTAGTGGAATCTTCTCAACTGAGCAAAGCCTATGATTTTTTTTTCCCTTTAAGCGTTTTCCACCTAAAAATCCTAGTGTTTTTCTATTATTTCAATCATCTTTTTGTATGTTAAGGTTTCGTTTACTACTAAGACGTAAAATATTCTCTCTATATTGTCGCGAATTTCTCAACATGCAACAAAGTAAATTATAATTATCACACAAATTAAATTTAAAGTACGTTAAATTGAATTTCTAAATGATTCAATCGCCTTAAATCCCGGATTACGTTGTGAAACAGTTTCTCAAATTTTATCAAGATTTAACATATTTCACACCAAACAATTTTTCAAGGTTTAACACCCTCAATATTTACTAAATTCATATTTACAGGACTTACTAAATCCAACTAAAATTAAATCCTATATGTTGCTAAACAGCCTCTAAAGCTAACACACCCGTACCTGACCAAGAGTTCTTTCACCAATTAGATGAAAATTTTCATTATTTGATAATCACTCGGCCTGAAATAGCTTTTAATGTCAAATGTATTTTCTAGTATGTTAACGGCACATTCAGACATGGCTTCTCATTTAGATGAGTCCTTCAAATTAATGTTTATTCCAACTCAAAATGGTCTGGAGATTCATCTAATTCCAAGCCTTACTAGAGGTTATTATGTTTATCTGCATTGATTTCGGTGTCACTCGTTCATCCATAGAAGTCAAGTAATCAAGATAATATCTAAGTCGGTTCATAGTTAGGACTGCAATATTGTCCATAACTTAAACATTCGGCTGTCATACTCTTTGCTTGTAATAAGATTTATTCATAGTTACTGCAATATTGTCCATAACTTGGCATTCATTATGGCTAGATCGGTTCAATTTCTAAAAATAAAATCAACAATTATCACCCTCAATATTTACTAAATTCATATTTACAGGATTTACTAAATCCAACTAAAATTAAATCCTATATGTTGCCAAACAGCCTCTAAAGCTAACACACCCGTACCTGACCAAGAGTTTTTTCACCAATTAGATGAAAATTTTCATTATCTGATAATCACTCGGCCTGAAATAGCTTTTAATGTCAAATGCATTTTCTAGTAAGTTTACGGCACATTCAGACATGGCTTCTCATTTAGATGAGTCCTTCAAATTAATGTTTATTCCAACTCCAAATGGTCTGGAGATTCTTCTGATTCCAAGCCTTACTAAAGGTTATTATGTTTATCTGCATTGATTTCGGTGTCACTCGTTCATCCATAGAAGTCAAGTAATCAAAATAATATCTAAGTCGGTTCATAGTTAGGACTGCAATATTGTCCATAACTTAAACATTCGGCTGTCATACTCTTTGCTCGTAATAAGATTTATTCATAGTTACTGTAATATTGTCCATAACTTGGCATTCATTATGGCTAAATCGGTTCAATTTCTACAAATAAAATCAACA